TGCTGTGAGAGTAATATAACACAGTGTAGTACCATGTAACACACAGACACACACAGGGCCGGAGACGCAGGCTCTGGGGTCGGACAGAACCGGGTCTGGACTCCAGTTCTATCGCCCACACGCTGAGTGACCTTCGAGGGGCCCTAGGACCTCCTCCCGCAGTCCCCTCTCCTCCCAGTGACGCGGTGACAAGGGGGCAAACCTTTCAGGCGAAGAACTGTGATTCAGAGAGAGAGAGACTCTCCACGTCTTCAAGCATCTGAAGGGCCCCGTAAATACCGCTGCTCCCTCCCTGCTTCAATCATCTGAGGAAGGAGGGCCCCTTGCGCTCTGCCCCGACATCTCTCGGGCCTCTGGCTCCTCCTCCCTGGACAAACCTGCAGCGACTTGTACCACGAAAGGCAACGAGCCGGTCAGACATCACTGCCGGTCAACGACGGCAAATTACTGAGGCACAGTTCCCACCCAAAAGCACCAGGCCACTCACGAAGGAAAGCTGACCCTTACTCCAGCGAAGCGAAGCGTCCCACGTGCCCCAACCGGGGGAGCGGCAGCGCCCAGGCCCTCCTCGCGCACGCACGGGAAGGACAGCAGCCTGGACGGCAGGAGCCCTGACCCGCCGCTTGAAAAGGGATCCCGGACAAGTTTCCAAGGTTTAATATTCATTTATTCAGCCCATATTTAATGAGTGTCTTTAAGACCCCTGCTTGCATGGAACGTATATTCTAACGGGAGAAGACAGACGCCATATAACCCTCAGACGGATACGAGGATGGGTAGGAAGAAGTCAGCAGACAGGGATTAGAAGCGAATTAAAAGGGTCATCACACAGACGGTGCCTGGGTCACCTATTTAGGACGTGGTCACTTTAGAAATGGTGGCACTTAAGCTAAAGCCTGAGGAGGGAACTACTCCGTTCTGGGTATCAGCCTCCTTTTCTGCAGAAGGTGATGAGGGAACGGGGGGCAGGGAGGGGGCACCTCTGAGGTCCCCCCTATTTCTAGGAAGGGCACTCCATGCCTGCTGCAAACACATCGCAGGTGTGCGCGCACGTGTCTCTAACATCAGACATTGTCTTTTACGGGACTAAGCAAATAATTTATAGGAGTGGGTCTTAACTTTGAAGACGTTTAATGTAACATAAGTTATCTGTAAGAAGCTAAATACAGCTTTGCACGCTGAACTTTTCCTACTGTTCTTTGAGCTCTGTCTGATAAAGAAGTACTTTTTTTTTTTCTTTTTTTGCAAATGAAGCCAAACTGGCCTGTGACCGGAAGGGTAAATGTGTTTCTGCATGTTTCAAAGTAGGCAAAATACTTGAACTTGTAATGGAGTTAGAAGTTGTCTTTAAGAAAATCTTTCTGGTCATCGCTTATAACTACGAATTCAGACACTGAATTTTTTTTAATTTAAATTATTTTATTGTTGTTCAATCGCAGTTGTGTGCATTCTCTCCCCACCCCTCCCCCTCCCCCTCCCCCTCCAAACCCACCTCCCTCCCCACTGAAATGTTAAAAGGCAAAACTCCAAGCCACAGGTTTCTTTCTTTCTTTCTTTTTTTAACATAAAAACACAGGAAAATATACTGAGGTGATGGGGTATGGAATTTTTAAAGAAAACATCAGTATTTTGACCCACATTTTTCATGCACCAGTTAACTAGAAAATTACAAAACCTGAAAGACCCCCGATAAATGGGACCCAGGGGATTAACACGACACCCCCGCCCCTGCCCCCCACTCTCGGGCCTCCTCTGCCCGCCTCCCTCGCCTGCCCCTGCCGGCCCAGCCAGGGCGCGTTTCTGGAACAGAAACGAAGGCCTCTCAAGCTGCTGAAAAACGAGGGCCTCTGAATTTTTAATTCTGTTAACTCATCATGACCAAACCAGAAACGGCTGTCTCCCCGAGAACCCGTGAGGCTCCAGGCTCCACAGACACGGCGGTTCGTCCTACAGGAGCCGGCTGGTTCCCCGGCAACACACTGGTCTGTGGGGCCACCGCTGTGGGCACCTCGAGGGTAATTAAATATTAAGTCCCTCTTTGATGCATGCAAAGTCCGCCTGAGAGGATTACCAGCCACAGCAAAGGGAGCGGTTCCTTATTTCCTGGTAATTGAACATTGCAATATCATTATCTCTTCTTATCTTCTCTCTAAGAATCCATCTCCACACTTAATGTTACCTTTGAGAACGGGGAAGGAAACACGGAGAGAGGAGAAAGATGAGAGCCCAAGTAACCAGCATTTGGGGGACTTGCTGGCATTTGGAGTGTGAGGATGACGACACTTTCATGCGCGGAAGGAGTGACAGGCGAGGTGAGCAAATCGCCCTCTAGCTAACTCCTCCGGTTCAAGGCTCCTCTTTCTGCACCCAGGACCCAAGGCCCATGGTTAAGAATCTCCCCCAAGATTGCAAAACAACAGTGGGGGGAGGGGGGAGATGCACGCATGCAGTTTTTCCCCTAGCGCCCTGACTTTCCTCTGCTCTGTGAAAGGTGACACAGTTTAAAAAAATAATAATGATGATGGAGACAAACGCAATTTTCAACCACAGGTGTAGTTGTGGGACAACCCAGAAGTGGTCGCTGTTCCCATTCCAAAGCCACATTTTTGTGCATTCATTCTGACGCAGCAGACGGTTACATACGATTATAAGACAAGAGTTCCCCCAACCAAATTCGCTTGCCCTTCCACACAGATCTCAATCAGAAATGGCAGACTGACACAGAAGTCTTGATTGTAGAAGAGGAAGAGGAGGAGACACTCGCTGATTTATTTTTTGAGAAGACTACAGATGAAGAGCATAATTAAGGCTGCTACGGTAGTTTTATGTGCACTGCCAAATCCTTTAGAACTCAGGTCGTTAGCTGCCAGGAACAGGGAACTGTGCTCACACGGGGAGAGGAAGAGTGAGGGGACAGGAGATGACGTTGCCGGAGCAGGGGCGTCGGGAGGGACGTTTCCCAGAGGGCCTGGGAAAGTGCGCGCACCACCACCACCACCACCACCACCGAGGACGCAGCGATGCAGTGAGAGGCTGCAGGCGTGGACTCTGCAAACCAGAGCAGAGAGCGGCCGGGTGCACTCGCGCAGCCGAGGCAGGTGCGCGGAGGAAGGGGCTCTACGCCGAGCCGCCTCACGCGCTGGGTGTGGAGAAAGGTGAGCTATGAAGAAATCAGAACCTCAGAAATCACCGAAATCATACAGGAGTTGCAACTTGTTCTCACAGTAACTGGAAATGGAAACACGTTGCAAAGAAGAAATGTGACTTCCGAAGCGACTGGGCCCAAATGTCACAGCACGCGTTCCAGTGCTTTGGCGTGACGGAGACGACGGAGGGGTTCCCCCTTCCCGTCCCCACGTTCCTCCACAAACGCTTCGGCTGCGCAGATCCGACATAACACGCAGTGGGGCCCCTAACCCCGAGGAACAGGGGGGCCGCGTCACCCTGCCAGGCTCCGGACGGCCACCGAGGAGACAAGGCTGGGAAGCTAGAGAGTGGAGGCGCGGCCAGGAAAGCACCCAACCGTGTGGGGACATTCGCCTGCTTCAGGAAGGGTCAGACCTGAAGCCCCAGGTGACAAGGTCTGCAGGACAGCAGTTAGAGCCTCCCCCTCCGGGATGCGCCACAAACCTTCCCATGTGCTGAAAACAAGCCTGCCTCCAGCACCTCCTGTGCCAAGGTCCTGCAATGCTCTTCCGGACTAGCGCATCTGTGTTCACCGTCTGCTCTTGAGAACGGCTGCTCCTGGGCCCCTGATGTCAGCTGAGGCAACATGATGGGCTGCTGGTAAGGTCAGGGTGCTTCATAGAGAGTACTGTTCAAATACGAGCGATGTTTAATACAGTCCGTTTCAGCCGTCTGGCCAAACTACAGAATCTTGGATGAGTCCACCTTTTCTGAAGGACAGCTAACAGTGCTTACCCGTGTACCTCGCCGAGGGAAGGGAGACTACACAACGAGCATGAAGATGCTCTGAGATGAGGCTCAAGGACATGTCACTCACTTTTTACATGAACTGTTCTTTGAGTATAATAATGAGGACATAAATGTAAACTAGGAGGCGACACTTTAAAGCCAGAGGGTAACTCAAGTTGGAGTCGACGACCAGGGAACCCCCCTGCAGACGGGCCGACGGGGGACAACCCAGGTTCTCACTGTCATTGGCGCGGGGTCTGTGCCGGCTGCTAGCACTCAGGCCCGGGGCTACTGGCTCTTCGGTCTCCGTCTCCACGATCCATCCGTTTCGCAGTGAAGCCGGACTGCAGGGGCTGCCCCAGCCCCGGGGCTGGGAAGTCAGCCTTCCCACGGACTCCACGCACGGCCTTCGTGTACTCCGGAGCACGGCTCAGGGCTCCGGGCCCCAGCGCGGCAGCTTCCAGGGCTTGGAAGGGCGGCGATGAGAAGCACCCAGGGCCACAGAGTTGTCCCGATGGGAAGGGAACAAAGCTTTCAATAATGTGATACCAGTGATAACAAATAACTTAAGCTCAAATGTGTGGAATTCAAAGTTCAATTCTATGTGAGACGGTTAGGGGAGGTTCCAGAGAAAAGACGGCCTGAGTGAGCCTTGGCGGGTGGATGGCGCGGAGCGACGTGCGGTTCCCTACGGTGCTGCCGCCCAGGTCCCAGAGAGGAGAGGGCCGAGTGCCCGGGCAGAGCACGGGAGACGCGGGTGTGCCACACTGCACGCTGCACCCGGGGTGAGCCACCATGGTTAGCCAGCGCCGTGGACCCTCCTGACCAGGCCTTACGCAGAGAAAAACGACGCACCCGTGCGAGGAGAGAGGGCGTCTACTCTGCACGTGCATCTCCGAACACGTGGGGAAATGAGGACGAGCCCCGCTGTTGCACGCCTTTCCCTACTGCACAGCTAGATGGAGGCACGCCCCGATGTCGGCGTGAGCACGCCGACTGTTCGCGCGGAGGCAGTTCAATCCGGAAACGACCTCCCTCTCCCACCAACAGGGAAAACGTTCAGGACCAGTCGGGTGCTCCCTTACCTGCCTCTGGGGCCAAGTGGCTTTGAGAATGGCTTCCGTCCGGAAGAACATGAGGAGCTTGCCGTCCTCCTCCGTCAGGTGGAACGACTGTCCCAACATCTGCAGCACGTGCACGCGGGGCCGCACGGGCTGCGCGTCGTCAGCACAGAAGGGGCGCAGCCATGCCAGCAGGTCCTCGGGGGAGACCAGCTCCTCTCTGCAGGGCAAAATCAAGGGTCAGACCGAGCTGCCCGGGGCGCCCCTCTCCTCCCAGTGCTCTCACACGTGGTGACTGGCGCACCCTGCTAATTGCGGGGTGACTTTAGTTTTCTTCTTGAGAGCAAAAGTTTAGGTCTTAAATGTCTTACAGCAAACCATATTAGCTGCTTAAAAACTATGTAAACTGAATGCAACTTTTAAACAGTGTCATATTAAATCGAGTTATATAAAGCTGGTAACAATAATCATTAAACACTATGTCCTTAGCTGCTCTTTCTGTTAGGTGAAGTTTAATAAACAGTGTGCTTATTTTAAGTAATGATAATAATAGTGTCAGGTATCATTCCAATAATTTTATATAAATTATTACTATTGACAATAACTTGGCAAAGCAGATATTATAAACTCCATTTTATCTTTTCCCCACTTTTGTTGAGCTGTAATTGGCATGTAACACTGCACTAGTTTATGGAGCATGGCATAATGATTTGATACACGCACATACTGCAAAACGATCACCACAGTAAGTATGGCTACCATCTGTCACCTGATGTAGTTACAACAGTTTTTCCGGAGAACTGTTGAGACCCACTCACCTCATAATCTTCCAATACACTGTACAGTACTGTTGACCATAGTCATGTCGCTGGACACGTCAATTCCACTCCACAAGTGAGGAACGAGGCCTCACAGGGGTGCTGTAATGTGCCCGCAAACACCCGCAACGGTCCAAACCTCGAACCCCATGTTCTCGCTCCCACTTTTCTCTGTGATAGAATCTCACTATGGGGTTAGAGCACCAAATTCCACACCAGCCGAAAGATAAACTATGAACACTTGGGTTTTGAAGGACCGTGTAGTCTAAAAGGATTCAGGGAAGAGGATATTTTGTGCAAATGCCTGTCCAGTGTTGGAATCTCTTCTCTTGTAATCCCAAGTGGACCATCTCAGGAAAACAACCTATTGGTGGTGGTGTCCATGATTTACTACCGACGACTTTTAAGAGGCTGCTCATCAGAAGCCCCATGCCCACGGGGCCCTGGAGACCCACGGCAAAACACTGAATTATACGGGTTTTGTTGTAGCCAGAGGCTACGAGGCTTCCAGCGATAAACCACTCAGACCACGTGCCAAATCCCATGCCCTAAGAAGACCACAAGAAACTCTGAACCCTGAGAAGAACAAAATTCTACGATAACGCTAAGTCAGTGATTTTCAACCTTTTTCATCTCGGGGCACACATAAACTAATTACTAAAACTCTACGGTACACCAAAAAATATATTTTTTGCTGATCTGACAAAAAAAATAGGTATAATTTCAATTCATTCACACCAGGCAGCTATTGTTGTACTGGCTGTTGCCGTTGTTTTATTTGGCAGCTGAAGGGAGAAGAGGCCAGCGCCCTGCATAAACGAGCACTCGGGTAGCACGTGTGTTTACAACCCTGTGCTGCAGTGCCCAGGCTGAAGATCACTGCGCTAAGTACATACAGCTATCGATATAATCATATGGCAACATAAATTCAAAAACAGAAGTTATTATTTGTATTTACGAATAAAAGAAGTCACAAAAATGCTGTGGATGACTGGAATAAGCCTTTCCCAAATTACAAAGTCATTTATTGGCTTTATCTGTGTGTCCTACTTAGTATGTATCAGAAATGGTAAAATTGGGTTGCAAAAAAGTAGAATCCTACAAGTATTTCCTGCATATCTACTATGTGTACCAACAGTATCATGCGATGGTAAGAGCATTTTTGGGGGAGGGGGGATCTGATGAACCTGTGAATCCTGGCCCCTTCCTTTCCTAACAGCTCTCGACGAAATTCATGGACGTCATCACTTTCATTTCACACTGGAGTAGACAAAGGCCCTGAAAGTGTGTTTCCTGGAGGAGTCGGTGAAACCAAGAAGAGGCATACAAAGCCCTGGCGCAGTAAGGGGCACAGAGGGAGTACTTAAACAGCAACATCATCAGCATCACTCCTGTTACCAGCATCATCAAGCTTTGTGCTCGACGGCACAGATGAAAAAGTGCATGGTCTCTGCCTTCCAAGAACTATTAACACAAGGGAACAGAAAGACTCTAAAAGTGACTCTTTTACAAATTACTAACATGACTTTGAACCATCTGCAACATGCCAGGCCTGGATTAAGAAGAAAGAGACAGCAGGGAGGGAGGACCCATGGGGAGAAGGGCGGGGGGTGGGGGGGAAGCAAGTCGGTGCGAGTGAGCTGACGGCGAGAGACGCAGACACACGGACTCCACCTGGGGCCCTGGCCTCCGTGCACGGACCAACCGCCCGAGTGCACATTCTTCTCACCACACCTGGTGCTGGGTGCGGCATGCGTCTCAGTGGCCACAAAACCACTGGGGCATGTGGCAAGGAACGAGATATAACTGCAAATACATGAATGCACGATGTGTTCATGGCATTACAGTAGTTAAAAAGCGTGATTCTTTCAAAGAATTACCACCAGGCTGTATTAAAACACAATTCCTAGGGAGGCAGTAACCTTGGTGTGCACACAATTCCGACCTCAGCTCTGAACTTGTGATTATTGCTGGTAACCAGCCTGTGGCTGCTCTTCCTGAGTTGCACTGATCAGTAACAGCACGCTCACATCCCACTGCAATGAGGCAGAAACAGTGGCCGGAGAGCCATACACGCGGCCGGAGGTGGCCCCGAGTTCTGCGCGGTGGACAGCGGGGCGGCCATCCTCGCACAGGGCTCAGTGTCACGGAGTGCAGCGCTCACGCACTGCGGGTCCTCGGAGAAGCTCGCACGGCTTCTCTCGCCTCGCGGAGCATGGAGAGTAAGAAGCAATGGCTGCAATCGGCTCTCGTGGGCTTTTCTTTCTTTCTTCCTTTTGTCTTTTGTCTTTTCTCTGCTTTAAAAGTAATGTGAACATCAGAAGTTCGGTGGAGTCTGAATGACCAGGCCCTGTTAGGTGCATACAAAGCGTTCAGACAGCCGGAGCTGGCACTGCGGCTCAGGGGCAATCTCCATGGACAAACAGAACCCTAACGGATCCAACAGTTTTCAAGGAAATCTTTCCTCCTGTTTGAGGACTGCACAGAGGAATTCCTCGTTCATTATCTGCTTCCTGAATGGACTGGATTCTGCACATTCTTTTGAGAATCACCAATATATTGGTTCACGCCTGTGAGTCATTCCAGTGAGGAAATGTTTTTAAAGGTATATGGAGGCAGGGGAATAAAAAATAAAAAAGGCCAAGGCAGGGCGACGCTGGTGGGAAAGGAGAGAACGCAGAGGGGAGTGAGGCCGGCAGAGCCGCACCTCTAGCTCGGCCCACGGACCGGCCGGCTACTCCCCGGGGGCCGGCTGGAAAGAGAAACGAGTCAGAGAGGAAAAGTCAAGAGCTGTGTGAGTTCACTCATATGAACGTAACTAATGAACAAACAAAACAAAAAAACACACAGAAACTCACAGACAGACAACAGTATGGGGTTACCGGAGGGAAGGGGTGGTGGTAGTTAGGGGTAAAGGGGGCCAGATACGTGGTGAGGGAAGACTTGACTTAGGGCGGTGAGCACACAACACAATGTACTGATGTGGTATTCCAGAACTGTACACCCGAAACCTGTACCATTTCACTACCCAATGCCACCCCAGTAAATTTAACTTTTTTTAAAGGGAAGAAATGCAGAATTGGAAGCCCCACCAAGACCTACTCAAGGAGCACCTTCGGGCGATGCCTGTGCGCAAGGCCGCCTGAGCGGCATTGCCTTGACCTTCGCCGGGGTCCTGTGACGCCACAAGAAGGTGGGCTGTGGTGAGAGGAATTCGCAGCCCGTCCCGACCTGGGTGACCCTGGACAAGTTACACAGCCTGTCTGAGCTTCGTGTCCTGATCTGTAAAATGGATGTAATAGTGTGAACAATAAGGTGGTTCTGAGAATTAAGAGAGTTGCTGAATAGCCCTTTCAAAGGTCTTGGCATAGAGGAATAAATGCTCATTAGCCTTTTTATTCTAAAATGTGTGGCAGTATTTTCTTTAAAAAAAATTTATTGATGTATTTTCAGAGAGAGGAGAAGGGAAGGAGAGAGAGAGGGAGAAAAATGGCAATGTGTGGTTACCTCTCGCTCACCCCATACTGGGGGCCTAGCCCACAACCCAGGCATGTGCCCTGACTGGGAATTGAACTGGCGACCCTTTGGTTCGCAGGCCGCCACTCAATCCACTGAGCAACACCAGCCAAGGCTAAAATGTGTGGTAGTATTTTCTTAAGTCCACATTTAATGGATATATTATTTTTAAACATTCTTTGAGGATTGACTTTTTAAAAATTCTTGCTTTTCTTAAGCAAGCTAATGAACTAATTAATTCTTAACACAAACTAGAATACAGACCATGCAGCTGGCCCTCTGTACCCACAGGTTCTGCATCCAGAGTCAACCAACCGCAGAACAAAAAACAGTTGAAGAGAAAAGCAGCGTTCTTGCCGAAGGGCGCTGCGCAGCCCCGCCCAGGGAGGTCGCAGCCCCGCCCAGGGAGGCCGTTCCAGCAGCGGACACACACAGACGGTTTTCCCCGCCATCGCTCCTCACACAACACAGCGTGATGGCCATTTACGTGCCACCTGCCTTGAATGAGTTAGGCGCCGTGAGTGATCTAGAGACGACCTGTGGCACGTGGGAGGACGTGGGCAGGTGACGCGCACAAGAAACGCTGTGCCATTTCATTTCAGGGACTTGAGCGTTTGAAATTTTGTACCTGCGGGGGTCCTGGAACCCATCCCCCACGGCTACCCAGGAACAACTGTGTTCTCAGAATGGGATGCTACAGACAGACATAAACAATGGGAGAAAGCATACAAATTCATATGGCAATTTTAACACGCGTGAGCCTCTGAATAGTTAACTACCTCATCCTCATCTGTAATTGTGGACGGTATCAAAGGTTTCTGACACCATTTCTAACCCCTGAACACCGGAGCCCGGTGTCCAGAGACAGGAACGAGGCTGAGCTGGACGGAAGGCCAGCTGTGCGGGGGCGGAGGCTCCACCGTGGCCTGCCTGGCCTGCGGTGCACGGGACCTGCGCCAGCTCAGGTGGGAGACGGGGGAGCAGGGCCTTCAAGGGTGAGGCAGGGGCTGTACTTAACAGGGACCAATATAAAAGGACAGGAAGGACGTGCTGATAATGGCATACACTGCCTAAAAATTAAGCACCAAACCAACGCTTGGTGGTAACCATTAATACACACACCCGAACTCTTACTTTCCTCTGTGCCAGGAATACTATAGAGTGGTGTTTGCCTAACCTAAGAGCATAAAAGAGAAAGAGAGAGAGAGAGAGAGAGAGAGAGAATGCTGTACAGGGAGAGGTGATTTCCCATCTAACGGATGCCCTGGAGGCCCCAGGGTGCCCACATTCCAGGGCTGGGACTGAAGGCGGCTCATCAGGTCACCCAGAGGGAGGGTGGGGGCCCCGAGGCCTGGCGTGGCCTCCTGGGGGCCAGGCAGTCGTGTCAGGCCAGGTCACGAGTGACCTGAGGCGACCCCTTTAGAAGGGCCCGAGGCCCCACGTCACCCTGCCGGGAGCACACTGCTAGGCTGGGAAACTGAAGTCAACAGCACCAGGTTTCACTGGGATTCCGAAAAAAAGAATACTTGCTGGGAGTAAAAGTTATGACTTTGTGTTTCTTCTTCTTTTCTTTTTTAAGAAAAAAATTCTGAGGGTTTTGGGTTTTTTTTTTTGTATTTTCTTTTTTTTTTGGTTAAAAAGCCTTTGTAATTGTTCTCGGGAATAAAAAGAAAGACCTTGTTCTGCATCTCCATTCCCTAATGTCCACCTCTTTGGAAACTGAAGCTTAAGAAACTAGTCTGTATTCAGGAGACCCAAGCTGGATTCTTCTGTATACTTGGCTATAAAAATTCACTGAGAAAAACATGGCCTTCTGATCTTCCCGAGATGCCCCCCGCGGACGAGCCTGAGCAACCCCGCTGGAAAGGGCTTAAAGCGGTGCGTGGGAAGATCCTTTCATGGGGTGAGCCCGAGGGCAGTGCCGGGCTGACAGCGCCCTGGGGAGCAGCCAGCCCCCTGAGGACCGACAGGCTGTGTGTACTTGGCGAGGCAGCAGCAGACGCAGCCTCAGGAAGGCGGTTGAGAATTTCCCACGCCACACCCCCGCCTGCTCTGCTCTCTGCGGAATCCGCAGTTGCCCAAGCATTTTCCGCAGCCTGAAGTTGCATTATCCACCTTCGCCTGCTAGGAGACTCAGCTTTCCCCACCTGCTGGCCAGATGTCGCCTGGTGCACCCTGCCCTGACTCCCCCGGCAGGGTCCCCTGCTCCCTCCCCCTCACTTTCCGACTGCACTCACCACTCTCAGCAGAGAGGAACCAGGGCTCTGGGCAAGCTGGCCCACCGGGAGGGGCTCTGAGCCCCTCAGGGCGGGAGGTCATTTCTTACCTACATGTAACTCCCCGCGACTTAGCACAGAGCACGGCACACAACACACACACAGAACACAGCTGGCAGGTTAGAGTGACAGGCCTCAGTCAGCCACTGCTGCAGCTCCCTGACCACCTGGAGGCCCACAGGAAAGGGGCGGAGACACAGTGCAAGGCCAGGGCAGAGGAGGTGGAGAGCCCCACGGTGTTTTCCACAGTCACCTGCTCGGCTCCCCCTCTGCACCTTCCCCCACACCGTGGGTGCGACACGGCGCTGGGAAACATGCCGTCGTGGCATCGGGGTGCCACGCTGGGAGTCAGAGCCAGACTGTGGTCCTGGATCCACGCCCAGGCCTGTGACTCCGGGAAAAGTCAGTTTTCCTCTCTGAGCTTTTCCGTCCTCAATGCACATGGCAACGACATAAGCAGCCATCAAAAGTAACGATCATTGAATGTATAAAGAGGAAGACGTCAGAATAGCAAGTAGATAAAATATAAGTGCTTATACGTTTTGATCAAAACAGTATTAAAAATGTATCTGTACCTGAACAATAATGGCATAGGTAATATGCAAATAAAAATAATTATGTTAAAGAAAGGAACTATGGGGAGTTTTTCAAATGCTTCTTCATTATTACATACTTTCCATTATAAAAAGAAAACTGGGGCAAGGAATTACAGGGTCGACATGGACACCAGACATCTGAAAGATTTTTGTGAACTCTGGGAGGTATTTAACTATTAATTCATTGTTGCTACTATTCCTACCACTTCTATTACATGCGAATGAAAAAATCCTTTATGAAAACAGCATTAGAGACACATACCTTTCTAGGCTCACCCAGCCTGGACACTCTGAGTCCAGATCTAGCATATATAAAACTTATAAAAAGTAATATAATATATCCACTCTAGGGATTTCCATGCCTAGTCCGTACAGTTAACCGGCTGTGGCTGCAAGTCCCTTCTCCTCTAAGGAGCTCAAGCACGCCTCTCCCTGGCCTCCCCAGGAGGAAGCCAAGAAGACAGCGATCTCTCTCAGCAAACAAGGCTCAGAAGAGAAGGTGAGCTAGAGCTGAAGGGTAAGTACCTGCAACAACACTCTAGTTACACAGAAAGTGTTCAGCTCTTCCTTCAGAGTCACCTAGAAATGCTGCTTAGTCTTGGAAGCTGCATACATGTGCATATACATGGAGACACATATGAAAAGCAACTCTGAGACTCTGAGGAAGGCCAGCAAAAGGAGACGGAAAACTTGCTCTGGTCTTACCCCTTGTCCACGCTGGCGTGGACGGCTGCAACCACCCCTTCCAGCACCTGGAGCGGGTCCCGTGGCCCACCAAGGTCAGCGCCGCCTCCACTGTGAAGGGAAAAAGAGAAGCACCAGTTGAGAAGAGGACTGCTCAAGCCTCAGACATCAGCTCATTCACGCTCAGACCACCCAGGTGGGCGGGGGGGTGCACGGCTGGCTCATAGCCCTCCCCCATCTACGCAGTCCACGAAGGCACCGAGCCCGATGCTATAAGCACAGATATGAAAGTGAAACATATTCCCTGGCTGGCATAGCTCAGTGGATTGAGCGTGGGCTGTGAACCAAAGTGTCGCAGGTTCGATTCCCAGTCAGGCCACATGTCTGGGTTGCAGGCCATGGCCCCCAGCAACTGCACATTGATGTTTCTCTCTTTGTCTCCCTCCCTCCCCTCTCTAAAAATAAATAAATAAAATCTTTAAAAAATATATATATATTAAAAAAGAGTCATTTAAAAAAGAAGAAAGTGAAACATTTTCTTCCCAGAAGGAACTCACATGCATGTATTCTATAAAGAGAATAAAAAAAAATCATCTTGCACTCTGTCATTCAAAAAAACATTCAGTGAATATTAAATACATGAGCTGCTGTAAACATTAAGAATGTATGGGGTTGGCCAAAAAGTCTATTTAGTTTTTTCCATAAAATAAGAGACATTTTTCATTTTTACCAATAACGTTATTGATTTGGAGACTTTGAGTAGGTCGGCTATCTCTCACGTGGTAGAACGCTGCTCTCAATTAGCATCTCGATTCGATCACGATCAGCTTCAGCTGGCCGGCCAGGCTTCTGCGGGTGGGGCGTGGCCCCGGGAGGAGCCTGCAGCAGAAGCTTCACGCGACACTTCCGGCGCGTGCAGTCAGTTGCAGTGCCTTCTCTATATACTGCACAATCTTTTTTTTTTACATTTCAGTTGCAGTTTTACCTCTCCTGAAATAACAGATCATAATATGCCCAAAACATTGCCTATTTCCTTCCATCTTCGATATAAAAATTGCTCCACAGAAATTTACAAATTTGGTAAGATTTTTTTTAAATGGAGGATGATATGACAGATGGCACAATAATAATCTAACAAAATCGTTTCAGATGAAGTTAACGACAACTAAGCACTATAAGAGCGATCGTATAGAAAAAAAAAAAACCAACAAACGTTTTGGCCAATCCAATACTAATCATCCAAATTCTCCAGTAGGCCCTTTTGTCAAAATACTCGTATTTTCGTGGTACTTAATAGATACCAGGCACTGTTAGGGGTTCTATCTACATTCTGCCATTGAACATCCCAACAGCCCGGAGACAGGTGTTACTGCTGTGCCCATTGTATAAGTGTGCGTGTCTGAACCTGTAGTGAATTCTGAAAATGCAACAGAAGAAAAAGAAGTTTTAGATGAGTTCTGTGAATAATTTAAGACCCATGTTTTAAATCAATGCTGAATTTGGTTGTTTTAGTGACTCTGTTATTTTATGCTTACTAAATTTTAGTAACTTCCCCAAACGTAAATGCTGTGACCGTTGTTGACAGGCGTCTCTTTTCCTTTGAGGGAGAGGGAGGGGGACTCCTGATGTCCCCTTCCCTCAGGCTGCGAAAAGACTTAATTCTCATTTGTTGAATGTCGTTGGTGCACCGAGTACAATATTCAGCAGATCAGAACCGAATCACATCTTCAGTAGAAACGGGTGCAGCGGAGGAGGGAGAAGTGCAATTTAGGCCAGAACTTTATAAATGTAAAAATATCATGTCACTTCATTTTAACTATTAATGAAAATGTGTCCTTTTTAGTGAATACACTAAATCCGTCCAGCGTAAATATTCAAAACGTTTATTTTTGTGGGCTTCATGTAAAACCCTGATTTAAGAAACAAGAAGAAGATGACTACGAATCCAAAGGTACAAGCTGTGGCCACCAAGTCCCTTTCATCATGCTAAAGAGGAAAGTGGTTCTTGTACCACCCCCACCGCCGCCAAAACCCAAGATGCTGCTAGAACAAAGCTTTATTAATTTGGCATTTATTATTTCTGGAAAGTGTCGCACTTTCGTCTCTCTCTCTCTCTGTGAAATCACCAGACACCTCAGAGCGTAACGGTGAAAACGGTACGGAGCTGGGTAATTACACTGATAAAGCCTCATTTGATTGCCGTTCGGCTGCTGAAAACTGACGTGCATTTAATCAAAAAGTTCCTCAAGAGCAATACAGAGTTACAAAGAATGCTTAAAAGGAGAATGAATTAAACACAGCTAAATCTTTTAGCTTAATTGCATTATTCACAGAAAGCACTTGATGCCTCATTATTTTCTCAGCTTAACTTCCCCCTCTTGTTTAATCCCCTCGGGTATATTCCTATAAAGACACTAGCACTTCGATACAAAGTTAGGCTTCCTCAACTGTGGGGGTTTTTGTTTGTGTTTCTGCCATCCATGGCAGATAAATAATTCTTCAGTACGGGTTCCCCTTGCCTTGTGCGCTTCCTCAGAACCTCTGCGGACCATCTTTCCACCACTCCCCGAAGGGAAAGTAGCAAAGCAAGACTTCAAAACCCACCCTAAGGTCACCACCAGCCTGACACTTAGCTGTTTCACAGGCCATCTGCCTTTCCTTTACTTCAAGAATAATGTGTGTGTGTGTGGGGCGGGGGGGGTGAGTCTAACCAGAAGTTAGCCAGTTCCTTAACACATTACACAGAACACCAATAATGAAACATTTTCACGGGTCTCTATTCTCAAGACATAAGACTTAGGGAAATCTAATATAATCTATCTCTCACTTCTGTACAGTCCTTCTTAGGAAACGCTTCTACGTGGTTATATTTCACCTCGAACAAGCACTGTTACTGGCAGCACAGCACCGTGGGTTTTGCTCGGTGGCCACTGGACCGCTCACCTCAACGCAGAAACGACTTTCGTGACTGCGCTCTGCACTACGTCCTTAGGCGAGAGGTCCAGGGGGCCCACGGCCACCTCCAGCAGCTGCTGGATCATCCCGAGAGGCTGACCGTCCAAACACATGGCCACGGCTTGATCTCGAATTTTCCCTTTGTCTGACCGGGACAGATCATAGAGGTTACTGTATTTCCGCAGTATTTCCTGAAAAAAAAGAAAAGAGAAAAGAAAAGAAAGGAGAAGAGAAGAGAAGAGAAAAAAAAAGAAAAGAAAAGAAAGTGGTATTCAACACCTCGATATCCAATAGAAACTAAGTGCCCACATGTATATAGTGAAACATTCAGGAGATTCTCCAAGCAAAGACATGGCAACCAGGAACCGCCCGGAAGAGCGTGTACTGGCCCGGGAGAGCTCAGGCCCCAGGGCCGCTCGGGCCGCCCAGGCTGGCGGGCAGGCCCTTGCCCCACCGGGTTTTAGGCAGTGGGCAGCGGGTGATCTCAAGTTCCGTCTGCACGACCCCAAGACGAGAGCAATAGGCTCCTGTGAACAGAGGCGGCCGTGAGCGTTAAGTGAGGTCCTGTACAAGCCGGCCCTTCAGCGCCATGCCACGCACAGGGTAATGCTCGCCAAGTCCAAGTTCCTCTACTATTATTATCGCGCTGCAGCCACGTAACAGTTATAATCCACTGAGTACCAACCACCAGACCCAGGTACTGCACGGATGTTATCTAATGCAATGCTTAGGATAATCCCGCAAGGGGTCTTCATTAGCTCCGTTTTAACAAAAAGAAGACTGAAGACTGAAGACACTGACGTGCCCCAAGTCACACAGCTGGCCGTGGCCGTGACGGGCGCCGGGATGAGATCCTGAAAGCCCCCTGTCCCCAACCCCCATGCCACGCTGCCCGTCCCCCTGTGACAGTATGTGCCAAACCTGGAGGGGCAACAAGCAATTTAAGAAACAGGACTCGAACTGTTGTTTTTGGCATGCCAAACACGGCCGCTTCACATTAACAACGCCTTTCGGGGTTCTTCCTAGTTTCGTAAGTCGCCCTGAATATACGTTTTCATCTTTCAAACCACCATGTGATCGCTGCCTGGCTATTTCACGACACTGCAGAGTTACTGGGGTGGTTTTTTTTTATTGTGGTAATGTTGTGGTTATGTTTAAATGCATCTTTTAGAAATAGGTTTGGAAACATTTATGGGTAAAATAAAAAGATGACTGGGATTTTCTAAACCCCCGGAGCAGGGGAGGGTAAGCGGGGGCAGGCACGCAAATCTCTGCGTTGCCGGCTCCCTCTGTGAACCCTGCGGATGACAGCAAGGCCCGGCCGTCGGGCAGGGAGGGCACTCACTGGTGTCACCACCGAGACGAGAGGGAACTGAGCTCCTCCACCGGATGACGGTCTTCACCTTAGACGGCACTGACCTTCTAAGGTGTTCTCTCACCGGTATGTAATGAGAGGTTAAAATCGAGGCCTGCACTTAAAAGGCACAGATATATGACCTTGAATGCTTATTTCCAGGATCTACTGTGAAAGGTACCTTAATAAAATCAAATACTGTCCCGTGTAGGCACCAGACGAGTCCCCTCTTAGGGACCATCCGGGGTCTGACTGCACAGCACCCGCAGGCAGCCATTCGGGACCTGTACGTCCCAGCCTCCTGAAACGAACCAGCTATTCCGTCCAGAGTCTTCTTGGCCCCACACACTGCTCTACCCACTGACAGACAACACATGTTCCGAGGACAGTGATGACAGTTCCCTGACTTGAATGTAATGTATTTGATTTAAGGAAATGGGACAAGTATTTTAAAATTTAAATTTTTAATTAGCATGTTTTATACTCATGTGTATGAACCACTTGCAGAGTCCGTGTGTACCCTGGTTCTTGTAATCACGGAGCAGAGCCTTGTAAACGTCAGGGGGCGGGATGGAGGCTGGCAAAGCTGATCTGTCCCAGGGGAGTGGGGGGGGCTCCTGTCTCGCTCACGCCAGCATCTAACGCTGTCCATGCGACAGGCCAGCAGGCACCGAGAGGTACAGAATGAAATGAAATTGCTACCATTATCTTTTCTATCAGGGCTAGCATTTATGAGTCTCATACACTTTCTGAAGTCTTCCAGTTGTTCTTTATACGGACTCGTCTCCACTGAATGATCTTGTTAGGGAGGAAAACTTTTTTTAGAAGCTAGGAATACAATTCAGTAAACATGTTAGAGCCAAGAAAAATAGAAGATGAGGTGAGTGGCCACTCACAGGTTTGTTAACCATGGCATTAAATTTTAATTTTATAAATTTATACATCTAAGCCCTGTTTTTATCTAGGTGAAAACCATTCACTTACTGATTTGTCAACTGCTCAGCCGTGGGAAATAATTTCTAAAAACCCCACGACTGCCCCGCACGGTCACACACACAGAAAGCTGCCAGGGCCACAGAGACTTCCCGCCGGCTCTGCCACGCCGGTGCCCACACCTCGTCGTGGGCGGGCGCCTGAGTCCCCTGAGGATGCTTTTGGAGACAGCGCAGGGGTCCCAAGGAGAAACCAACAGGGAACGATTTAATAAAGTTATACCAAAAACGTGGGACACAAAAGCAGGATGCGTACACTTGGTTAAAAAAACCCAAAAAACTACTGAGCGGAAGGGGTGGTTATTTCTGAATTCTTCTGAAAATTCAGGGGGAACTCTATCATTGTTCAGTGAGCAAGCACGACACCTGCCCGTGAGAAGTGGGCTGGCACGCCACCCTCCTTCCCACAGCTGGGCTCCGGCGACCCTCCCTCTCCCCGGGCACCACCCAGGCTCAACTCAGCCCCCCTCCCTCCTCCTCCCATCTCCTCAGCTCCTTCCTCCCAGGTTATCAACCGTGTGAAGTGGCCTGGAACCCTTTTTAAAGAGCAGAAAACTGAGCTGACTACCAGGCGACAGTGAGGAGGCAAAAAGATAAAGGCCGAGGACCACTTTCAAGGGCATCTGCAATGATGAAAGCGCTATCCGAACTACTGATGCGGCTTTAAAGGACAAAGGGAAGGAAATGCTGGCACTACCTGGGCGCCCGCACTCACAGCCGAAGTGTTCTCTTCCTTACCTGCTCGCTGTCTTTCAGGGAAAGGATGAAGCTATGGCTCAGGGTCTCCAGGTGAGCGAGGGACGTCTCCAGGTGACTCAGGGCGTCTGCGTAGGTCACTTTGGAATCGCCAGCTTCCTGAACGTCGTCTTCTGAATTTCTTTTCCTTGGCTTCTCAATAAAATGTTTGACTGTCTGAATGGCCTTGCTGGTCATCTCCTTCCGTGCCTCCACAGGCAGCTTTAAAAGAAAAGGGTGCATGGTGGTAAGAGAAACCAGCCCTGCGTCATCATATACGGCCCGTTTAATAAGGTGTCCGTGAGAAAGAGAGAACAGAAGTACGGTTTTAATATGTGCAACTTCCACCAGTGTGCAAGACTTTTATTATACTAGTTTTTCTTCTGTGAAACAGACACAGGGAAACACCATTTGTGATGTTAAATTAGTAAACAGAGATTTTTAAAAATGCTAAAACCCAGATGCAGCAGTGTTATGACAAAACTAGTGTTCAAAGAGAGTTATCAGTTATAGTGCAAAAAGCAGAGTTAGTACTACAACCAAAATTCCCAGTTCTGATCATTTATTGTAAGGGAAGAATCCAAAAGGAGAAAATGGTACAGGCAGGAAGATGTTAACTGGATGAGGCTATGAAAATAAACTTCAAAAGTAATATAATTATCTGATATTAAGAGAAATGATAACTAGCTTGCAATAAATTACTAGATAAAACATGCAGTCATTAAAATCAGCACTACAAAACAATATAGATATTTGGAAAGTATTTACCATAAAATGTTAAATTTTAGGAATCAAAAATAAAAAAATTATCTATATCATGCTTATATTTAAAACCTGAACTCCAGCCCTGGCTGGCGTAGCTCAGTGGATTGAGTGTGGGCTGCGAACCAGGCATCACAGGTTCGATTCCCAGTCAGGACACATGCCTGGGTTGCAGGCCATGGCCCCCAGCAACCGTGCATTGATGTCTGTCTGTCTGTCTGTCTGTCTGTCTCTCTCTCCCTTCCCTCTCTAAAAATAAATAAATAAAACCTTAAAAAAAACCCAGCAGCAGACGGAGTCCTCAGACAAAACCTCACAGCTCCTATCAAAGTCTCTTCGACCCAGTCAGTGCATGTCTCTGATCCTTCTGAAAAGCTAGCCCAGGCCTCGAGACCCCACACCCTACACCCGAGGCTGCAGCAGGAGGTGAGTCTCCCCCACCCTCTTCCACAGGTTCCCTTCGAGTCACCCTAATTGGTGCTTTATGACAGAAACAGCTAACATGTTCTTAATTCCACACAGATACTGATAAAAGTTGTCTTTGGGAAACCACTACTCCCAGCGACTTGTAACTACATGTTTGCTTTTCAAACGCAGCTTCAGAGTAAGTTCTGTAGCCCCACCTCTCACCAGACGGCTACCTCCAGCCCCCGTGGCACTGAACAAAACCAGCAGCTACCACTGACTGGCAAGGACAGTTACGTTATCGACCTTCTCTACCCAAATCAACTGCATGTTCCCTTCCGTGGCTGAGGAGTACCAGACACCAGGGCCTGCATTTAGCTGAACAGACCTCCCCGGACTTCCTCCATTACGTGGATGGGCCCACGGAGCCCGGGGCGGGGTGGGGTTAAGTGGTGAGCTCGGGTTCATCGTAGGAGTGAGAGTAGTAAAAGTCAGCACTCAGACCCCTCCACTGTCGAACCAGTGTCCCCTTGCACTGTGCATCTGACAGCTCCCACTGGGTCGTTTCTGCCTCCTCACTGGTTCTGACAGTGTGTGTGACAGAGGGCATGCTGGCTGAACGCCGAACAACAGAAAGGACAGATGAGAGCATACTGTAGTGAATCCCTCCTTCTCCTCACTTATATTTGTTCCCCCAAGAAATACGGGCTCGGGTATACCAGCTGGCCAAATGTGTAGTCTCCTAGCCTGTCACGGAGCATGGAAGGGTGTCAGCAGCAGACCGGCAGGAGAGGAGGGGCAGGGCAGGCTGTCCGAACGCGCAGGGCGCAGGGCCCGGGAGAAACAGCAGGTCTCCGTGCCCCTGGGTGCGCCCAGCTGCATCCCCACTGCCCAAGGTTGCACTTGGCTTTGTCAGCCACCCCTGGAATGGCTGGTAAGAAATCAAATGAGGTAACATGTAAATCCATCAGCAAAAGTTCTTGCCCATAGAAAATGCTCATTAAATGGAAGCTCAATTTCAGTTTCACCAACTAATATAATACATAGGCCATCTTCCACCTGTTAAAAATGTATCTCCCTAGTAAATTTGTCATGTAATTCCCCTTTGGGAAAACCGTTCTTCCGCCTCCCAAACTCCTTAGCATGGTACTCAAGGGCTTTCACAGCTGGCCCCAAGCTGACCCCCCAGCCTCGCGTGACAACCGTGACCCGCACCCTGAGCTCTGGACACGCAGGCCTCTCATTACTCACTGGTGTCACTACATATCTTGTCTCAACGGAAAGCTCTTTTCTCTCCTTTGCAAGACATATCCCTAGTCATGTTTCGACAGAGTCATCCTGGACTCCCTGCCTGGTTCCCTCAGCCTCCACAGCCGGTCCCTAGGCCAGGCCCCCCACTCTAACATCTAAGCACAGGGCCCACCTCCCCGCAGACACACAGACCTGGCTGGGCAGCACCGAGCCGGGGCCCGCACAGAAGGCTACGCTTTCGCAGAACCTGCTATCGGCCCTGAGAGCTGAGTGAGTATTTCAGGGTTTTAATTCTTCACCTCACCACCAGTGTCAGCAGAAAAGCTTTTTTCCCTTATTTTTAATGGGATTTCAAAGTAGCTAAATAACGACACCTACCCAGAATGCAGAGCGTGAACAAACGCAGCCCTGGGTCAGACGCCCGAGAAAGCCGGGCCTCCAGGGCGCAGACCAGCGTCATGCCGAAGGGCCCTGGGGCTGTCGTCCCACAGTGCGCTCCAGCCTTCCGCCTGTTTGCTTGGTAAAAACAGGGGTATGGCTGAAAGGCTGGAGGGCAAGTTTAAGAAATACAAGGTCGACTACGGATTTACAGCCGGCAGACTTATCTTCCTTGGGGGTGCTTGTACGGTGGGACAAGCATGAAGTATGAGAGAATGAGACCAACAAACGTGCCACGGCAGGGACGGCTGTTTCCCCGCTGACCCGAGGGGCCAGAGTCTGCGTTTCTCCTCGGCCTTTTTTTTTTTTTGAGCCTATGAGTGAACATGTCATTCGTACACACCATTATCATAATAACCAATCAAAGGTCTTCTTAAACTATTCCCAGACAGCAATGTGCAACTGCTATTAAAAACTGTGGACTTTGAAAGCTAAGTGGCTAAACTGCTCTAGCACCCGATAAACAGGTGATGCACATGCGTCTTCCAGGCCCTGTGGAGAGATGAGATAACAACATGAGACAGGCTCCAGGAAGTCACCCTCGGTGCAGGAGAGGAGATGGTGGGGAGGGGGAAAGTCAAGGAGACACCCATGACGTCTGCAAGTCGTGCTGAGTGAACCTGCAAGGTACACCCAGCCCCCACCCAACTCCATCGCCCCCCCAGCACCACTCAACACCATGCCGCCACGGCCCCTCCCACACTTCAACAGCTCTCAGTGGCCTCCCGCTGCGGTCATCACCGACACAAGCATCCCGTGGCAGGCCACGCTCCAGCCCACGACGTCTGAACCGGAGCGACGTGTCATTTCTGAGCCAATGCGCTACGTAGCCCACAAGTTCTGTTACCCAGTCCCCCTTCTCCCCGCCGTGGCCGCTGAGGACGGGCAGGTCCCAGACGGTAGGGCGCCAGCAGCCTGGACCCTAAGTGGCTCTGTGGCACAGACCGCTCTGCCACCTCTCAGTGGGAGGGGGCATGAGGAACGGGAACCTTGGCTGTGTTGAACCATGGTGCTGCTGGCTGTAGTTGGTGACTCCGGCCTTCCCCAAGGAGCAGTGGTATTTTCGGGAGAGAAGTCGGATCGCATCGCTTCTCCAAGTAAATCTGTTTAATGGCTTCCCAGTTCACCAAAACAAAACCCCATCTCCGATGCCCTGTAGGTTCCGTGGGACCTGCTCTTCACCTCCCCCGCCCGTCTCACCCTACCTCCCCCTGCCCACACTGTCACTCCCCTCCCAGCACCCTGGCCTCCTCCCTGCGTCCCCAGGCACCCTTCCACGCGCTGGTCCCTCCGATGAGAGTGTCCTCCCAGGAACCCTCCTGCCCGGTCCCTGTGCTTCCCTCGGGATTTTCTCCGGGCCGGGCACTACTGTTTTTCACTTCAGCACTGGCACGCTGGGTTCCCGTCTGCGTACTGTCACGGTTACCTCCCCAGGGCCCGCAGCGGTGGCTCACACAGAACACATACCCGATGCGTCTGTCGGTTCTGTGGCGAACAAATGACGTTTTGAGAAACAGAACAGCAAAGGCAGAGCTGCAGACTCTGCTTTTTGAGCAGATATTGAGGCTGATATTGAGCAGAGATTAAGCAGCTACTAAGGCGGATACTGAGGAAATGGCAGGGGACTTGGGGTGCATGTATAGCCCCAGCACTCCAGTCTGCACAGGGCGGGGGGTGGGGGCGGGGAACAGGCCCCACGGGAAACTCGGCAGGCACTACAGGCCTGTCACACGTCCGTTCATTTGGTGGGCTGGTCAGTTCTTGCAGTCCTTTATGAAGACCTGAGACCCAGTCTCGGCTGAGGGCAGCGAGCTGGACGTGGCCTGCAGGCCACAGCTCCCCGACCCCTGACCCGTGAGACTGAAGAGTGCAGCTGGGGAGATGAACTGGGAACAGACTGGGAGCGGTCCTGAGCACCCAGCGAGCCGCGCCATCTGAGCCGCGCAGGCCCGTTCGGAAGTCACCTGGCCGACTGAGGACGATCACATGGCAGCTGCCTACTTGGTCCCCAACTAACAATACAGTGTGGGAGGATCTCACACCAAAGAAACACACGAAACCTGTCTCTGAGAAACAATGGAATGCCATCCTTCCCCAACCTTCCCCCGCCTTCGCCTGTCCTTCCAGGATCAGGTCAGAGGTCACCCCTCCGGAAGTGGTCCGGGAAGAAGCCGTCCATCGCCTCCGCCCAGGGGACCCACCACCCCGTCTGTGCCTTCCTGAGGCACCAGCTGCCCACGTCAAAGAGCACAGCGCACTGCATCAGAGCCATTCGGTTATCTGGACATCCCCCCGACTAAACAAGGAGATCCTTCTGGGCAGAAACTGTGCTTTTCAAGTCTCTGTACTGCTGGCACCTAATACAA